TGGAGGAAAACCCCATCACCATCCCACAGAGAGAAACTTAGAGTAAGAGTAAGCAAGTACGCCTCTATCTTTTTGGTCCCAGAGGAAAAGATAAATAAAATGTAAGCATTTATTTCATGTCCCTAATCTACTAAACACAGGTTACCACCAGCTGTTCATTGTCCAGACGTGGAGTGGTCCTACCTCTAACCTAGAAGTTAGGATTGTTTAGGCCTTTGAGGGTGTCACATAAAAACTAATAAATGTTAGACATTCTCTCCCCAGAAATATTTCCACACACAAGAAAATATAAATATTAATATAAAACATTGGTGTGGACCCAGAACCTCTGAGGTCTTACAAACCTGGGTGTTTTAATCCTGGTAAGAGACAATGCTGAGGGGAGATGTTTGAATAATCATTTCATCATCACACAATGCCACTCCAATAATCTAGACTATAAACTGGGATAGACCAAAGCTTGATGTAATAATCTATCCTTAAGGGAATGGGTAGAAATATGTTATTTATTAGTCTTGGTTCATTCAGCCACTCTGCGTGCCTACCAGGTACCAGATAAAGTTCTCGTCCTGGATCACTGCTCCAAGAATTAAAATTTGTCACTTTTCCCCACTCCTTACACTTGAACCCTCTTACTACACCAGAATTCCACACTGTCAATGAACAGAGTCAAACTCGGTAACATGTTTGAAGAGATTTATTCTGAGCCAAAAGTGAGTGACCACATCCCATGACACAGTCCTCAGGAGACCCTGAGAACATGTGCTCAAGGTGGTTGAGGCACAGATTGGTTTTATACATTTTAGGAGGATATGAGACATCAATCAAATACATTTAAGCTATACATTGTTTCGGTCCAGAAAGTTGGGACAATATGAAGCAAGCAAGGGTTGCGGGGTAGTGCTTCCGGATTATAATTAGATTTTCAATTTTTCTGATTGGCAATTGGTTGAGTTACTATCAACAGAAAGGAACGTCTGGGTTATGATAAGAGGTTGTGGAGTCCAAAATCTTCTCATGCAGATGACGCCTCCAGGTGCCAGGCTTCAGAGAGAATAGATTGTAAATGTTTCTGATCAGACTTAAGGTCTCTGTTGATGGTAAATCCTGATCAGCTTTTCCTGAATTCCAAAAGGGAAGAGAGCATAATGAGGCATGTTCAACACCTGATTCCCATGGTGGCTTCGGCCAGTCTTTGAGGTTAACTTTTGAGCACTCTGGCTGAGGGTGTCAATTGAGACTGTTAGGAGGGGGTGGCTTTGATGTTTATTTTTGGTTTACAACGTTCAAGATGTTGAGAGGAGACAGACACCACCTCCCTCCCTGGAAGAGGACAACACTCCAGTCACCCTGCAGTTGATCATGGACATGCGTCTTAAGCTCCACCAGTCCAATGACCACCTGCTGAAGAGGTGTCATTGTCCTAGGTAAATACTAAGGGTGTGTCATCTCACACCAAGAAGATTAAGGACACTGACACACGAGGAGTGAGTTTAAGAGCAAAGGGTTTAATAGGCAAAAGAAAGACAAAGGGGAACAGCTCTCTTCTTGTGAGAGAGAGGGGCACCCAAAAGGGAATTCCGGCCTGGAATGGGAGTGCATTGGATTTTACAGGCAGGCTTGAGGAGATGGTGTCTGATTTATGTAGGGCGCACAGGTTGGTTGGACCAGGTGTGATATTTCCATAGTGCAATTGGAAGGTTGTTCACCCCACCCTCATCCTATTATTCAAATGGGCTTGCCACTTCACCGGCGCCATGTTGTCTGCCCCTTACTGTAAGGAAGAGCCTGGCAAAGAGAAGGGAAGATGGAGTCGCCATTGTGAACATGCCCAGTCCCAGGTGTCCGATTCCTATTGGCACAGCTGCCAGCATTCACCCGTGCAAGCTTCCAGCTTACTTGTCTGTGTCTGAAGCTTGATATTACAGGCTGCTCCTTGTTAGAAAAGAAAATAATTTGGAGCCTGCTTTTCATTAAAAGCCTTCTGTACCCTCTTTCACTCCTATATCACTGCCAGACTCTGAGCCAGGCTGAGGTGACACAGAGAGGCTGGGACTGTGCAGAAAACATTTTAGTAAAGATGGCTGATGGCAGTTGTGATGTCCAATTACCAGGTGCAGCAGTGACATCTGTCCTGGCCTCAGGGTCCAGTGTCCAGCACCAGGGTGTCAGAGGTGTGAGCAGTGGCGTCTGTGCTCAGCAGCAGGGGCAGTTGTTCCTAGGAGGGACCTGATCCAGGGTGGGCTGTGGATTCTGTTCCTGGATGTGTAGGTTCCAGCCTGCTTCTGTGGCCATCCCCACGATAAAACTAACCCCCAATACCAGATATACGACTTAATGTGTACATTACAGAAATTTGGTTTCCGTGGTTTGCTCCAAGAAGTGAGTGAGAAATGAGTCTGTGGGCGGGTGTCAGAGAGCGGCATTCACAGGTGTTCCTTGTGTGAGAGCCACATCCTGAATTCTCTACCTGGCCTCTACTCCACTGTGGAGAGAACAACAGGGAATGTCACATCTCATAGCTGATGATACACATCCTCCCTTTTCTTTCTGTGAGGAAAATCCTCTTTTTAACAGGGTTTGAAAACCCACCCCACCCACCCACCCTGGGCACTCTCTGATCTCTGATCTCAGTGGTTCCTGATCTGGCTGAGCAACAGGATTGCTGGCGGGGGCTTAGAAAATACTCAGGCCACTCCCCAGAACCCCTGTCTCAGAGTTTTATGCACAAGACCAAGGATTCGTTTATATAACAAGCCCTAGAGGTGAGGCTGATGCTCAGACATGTGGGATCCTGGTGTTCTTGCTACTCCAAGTGTGATCTGGAGACCAGCAACATGA